TTATGTTCTAGGGTACATGTGCACAACATGCAGGTTTGTTACATATGTATACATGTGCCATGTTGGTGTGCTGCTCCCATTAACTCGTCATTTACATTAGGTATATCTCCTAATGCTATCCCTTCCCCTTCCCCCAACTCCACAATAGGCCCCTGGTGTGTGATGTTCCCCTTCCTGTGTCCAAGTGATCTCATTGTTCAATTCCCACCTATGAGTGAGAACATGTAGTGTTTGGTTTTCTGTTCTTGTGGCAGTTTGCTGAGAATGATGGTTTCCAGCTGCATCCATGTCCCTACAAAGGACACAAACTCATCCTTTTTTATGGCTGCATAGTATTCCATGGTATATATGTGCCACATTTTCTTAATCCAGTCTGTCACTGATGGACATTTGGGTTGATTCCAAGTCTTTGCTATTGTGAATAGTGCCACAATAAACATACGTGTGCATGTGTCTTTATAGCAGCATGATTTATAATCCTTTGGATGTATACCCAGTATGGGATGGCTGGGTCAAATGGTATTTCTAGTTCTAGATCCTTGAGGAGTCTTTATAGCTATGTTGAGTTGGCTGAGATTCTTGAAAGTGAAGATTGCTAGCTTTAAGAGTTTTGGGAAATTCTTGACTATGTTTTCTTTACATATTTGTCCCACCCTATTCTTTCTTTTTTCTTTAGTAACTCCAATAATAGGAATAAAGGGGTGTGCACTATGACTTGCATGTGACTGATATGTGTATTCTTTTGCATTCTCTGTGCTCTAATCAAATATTTCATGTTGATCTGTCTTTGGGATCATTGAGCCAATCTTTAGCTATACTGTTCAACTCATCCAATGAGGTCTTCATTTCAAGTACTGTATTTTTAGTCTTAGAATGATTACTTTTTACAGATTTTGATTCAGTGATTAAACCCCACATCTTTTCATAACTTTCATTCATATTGTCTTTCAATCCCTTTGAAATGTTGATCATTGTATCAAAATGTAATCTCAAGATGTTAAATAAAATATCATTTTCTTTCTTTGAATCTACTTATATTGTTTGTTTGTTTCACCTGGTAATTGATCACAATCTCCTGCCTCTTTTTAAGTTAGTAATTTGTGACTGTATGCCAGACATTGTGGACAAAGCCATGTCAAAACTCTGTATGATGCTACTTTGACCGGATAGGAATCTGTGTTTTCTCTGTGGAGCAGATAAGGTGAGGAGGTCATCACCCCAATCCAAGAGGCTGAGTTAGATCAAAACTGGGTTGACATTTTAGTAAGATCCCCTCCACCTCTAGTTCTGTTTTTGTTTCTCAGGCCTGTCTCTTCTACACTGTTGATTGAGAGCTCTGAAAGACAGTAGAAGATTCAGGCTGTTTAGCATCCTACCATATGCTCCATCCAAATTTGATGAGCATCTTGGGGAGACCAGCCATGTTCTGAGCAGACTCCTTTTCTCAAGTGGAACTTTTCCTCCCAAGTGGAACTTTTCCTCCCAATTATTATGGGACTTCTGAAGATTTTAACTTACTTTGCAGAAACTCCTAACCTTTTACTCAGTCTCAATATAGCAAGGGTGCTATAGGAAAATAGTCAAGGCATTTGGGGATACTTTTGTTTCCAAATTGTTGTGGTTGCTTCTATGAACACCACAAGCTTTGCTTGCTCCTCTTTCCTTCCTACGGTGCTTCTGCATGAACCAGATCTGATCTGTGTTTCAAATCAGCAAATATCCCAAGAAAGAAAATACCTGTGAAAGGTAGCTAACCTTGCCAAAACACTCTGCTCTCTTTAATTTGTGTTATTTTAATTCTTTTTGTTTCCCTAATTCACTCATCTCTTTAAATGGATTTTTTGCAATTAATTTGTCTTCTTTAGTTAGTCTAACAGGATTGTGTTCTCCTGCAACCAACGGCATTCTATTCATAACCACAAGTCCCCTTAGGGTCAACTTTTAAGAAATCTTGGGCAGTTATGTCTTTCCAACCTAACAGAATCTGGATGCAAGTCCAGGAGTGTGGAGTCCACTGACTCAGAAGACCTGCATCTAAGGAATTGGCTGTCCTTATCCTTAAGTATGATGACTATGTTTCCAATTCTAGTAGGCCGTTTGATGTATTCTGAATAAATATTCCTTTTGTAATTGAACTTCTAGAGCTCTTAAATTTGGCCCACTCTAGTTTTCTCTCTCTCTCTCTCTCTCTCTCTCTTTTTTAATAATTTTTTTTTATAAAGATAAGGTCTTACTTTGTTGCCCAGGCTGGTCTTGAATTCCTGGACTCAAGCAATCCATCTGCCTTGGGCTCCCAAAGTGCTGGGATTATAGGTGTGAACCATTGTGTCCGACCGCTTTCTGGTTTTTCTAGCATATGTTATCCCAACTCTGTTCTCTATGTAAATTTCCCTGATCACATGGTTGTATCTTGGCATTTCAAAATACTTAACAGACTTTGTTTTGTTTGAATTTTACAATGAACTTACATGACTAGGCATGGTCCCCAGTTCAGTTTTATAGACAAGGATTCTGCAGGTCAAGAAGTGAAACACAACCAATAACAGCAGGTGACAGGATTTAAACCTGGGTCACTGTACTTTTTTTTTTCTACTCTGTCATTATGTGCATCTATCCTACCTCTGCAATGACAGATGGCCCTTGAGCAAGAACACTTCCTTACATCTGGTATACAGTTGAAAAGTAAAAATTCCACACAAATAAATATGGAAAGAAGTTTTACCTGCTCCTATAGCTTCCTTTCAAGGACCTGGCACCCACAAAGGTTGAGTAACAGAAAGGGGACTTATATAACTTAAAGTAGAGAAAGTTATAGAGACTGTCTTAGCATAATATAGCATGGAGTGGTCATGCTTGGAGGTGCAAAACGTCTGATGGTCTCGGACGTGGTTTGATCCTGAATTACACTAGTGAGGCAAGTTGCCTTGGGCAAAGCTAACTTATTGGACCCAAAGCTCTCATTTGAGAATTTTGTTGCCTAAATACTATAAAATATCAGCAGTTTCATATGGTTCAGCCTAATATTTTATCACTCTTCCTTTTTCTATTCTAAAGCAATAATTTTTAATAATGTAAGCTATACACATACATGCTTTCAACATACAACGCCCTGACTATCATGTAATGGATATTTCAAGAAGTAAATGTTCAGCATGTCTTCACCCCCACTTGAAGACATAATGTATCAATTAGGCTGTTCTTGCATTGCTATAAAGAAATACCTGAGACTGTGGAATTTATAAGAAAAGCGGTTTGATTGGCTCACGGTTCTGTAGGCTGTACAGGAAGCATATTGGATCTACTTCGTCTACTTCTGTGGAGACCTCAGGGAACTTTGACTTATGGTGGAAGGTGAAATGGGAGCAGGCACCTCGTGTGACTGAAGCAGGAGCAAGAAAGAGAGAGTGACCGAGGTGCCATACACTTTTAAACAACCGGAACTCTCTCTTGAGAATTCACTTAATGTCTTGCCAACAGCACCAAAGGAATGGTCCGAAACCATTCATGAGAAATCCTCCCCCATGATCCGATCACCTCTCACCAGACCCTATCCCCAACACTGGGATTACAGTTCAACGTGAGATTCGGGCCTGGACACAGATCCAAACCCTATCAATATATTGGCCAGACGTTTGCAGCTATATGAAGAATACCCTGGTTACCCAGCCACAAATGCAGATATTATTGATAAGGGAGGGGGGCAGGGAAGTGCTGGGAGGAGAAAGGCAGGTCTCTGGCCAGGGCTCCACCCTGGGGCCTGTGCCCACAGACCTGGGTGAGGGCAGGCACTCCTGCCTTTGCATCCAAATGTTGCTTTTCCCAAGACCACCCTGGCCCGCCATGCCCCCATCCCGTGCCTATGAAAACCCCCAAAACCCTAGTGGGCAGTCACACAAGGGGCTGGACATCCAGAGGACATCAAGAAGAGCACGTCGACAGGCACTAGCAGACCCTGGCAGGCCACCGACCGGCGGAAGGACATGGAGTTCGGCTGGGCGGTTGGAGGAGATCCAGGCCGCTAAGTGGCCTGACTCCAGGAAACACACCTTCCCACTCCATCTCCCTTCTGCCTCCCCTGTCTGCTGAGAGCTACTTCCACTCAATAAAACCTTGCTCTCATTCTCCAAGCTCACGTGTGATCTGATTCTTCCGGTACAACAAGGCAAGGACCTTAGGATACAGAAAGTCCTCTGTCCTTGAGATAAGCCAGGGGTCTAATTGAGCTGACTAACACAAGTCTCCTACAGATGGCAAAACTAAAAGAGCATCCTGTAACACATGCCCACTGGGGCTTCCGCTGCAATCGTTCACCCCTAGACACTGGGTTAGAGCCCCACAACCCAGCCGTCTGCCTGCTCCTCTAGAAGTTTGAGCAGTGGGGCACAGAAGAAGCGAGCCCCTCCTGCTGTTGCACACCCTGCAAGGGGGCAAGGGAACTTCTCCTGTTTCATCATCAGGGATGTTGTATTGGAGTCTTAAATAACACTAGCATTTTGCCATATTTGGAGCTGCTACTGGGCCAGCTCTGTTTCCAGGCCTGCCTTTCAATCTTTTCCTTGCTTCTGGCATGAGTTCCCTTCTCTCTTGAGAAATCAGTTATGCATTTGAAAATATGTGTAGCTATACATACTTTAAACATACCATTTAGCAAGGATGCTCCTTGTTGGACGGTCTTTCACATTGCTGGGAACAGAGAACACCACAGTTCCAGGTGAGCGAAGTAGTGCGATCTCATACATGATGAAAGCTAGGCAGGCAACAGCTTTCCCGTAAGTAAGCATTTCAAAATGTATTTGTAGAAAGGCAGTAAAAGAATAAGACGCAAATCAAGCTATTTTTAAACCATTGTTTTCAGGGCCAAGGAAGAAAAATGAATTCTTAAAAAAAAAAATTATAAGGTCTTTAGTGGTGTTTTTAGTTGAAGTAATTTGGAGATGATTATGTATTGTTATTTTTTATTCAATTCTTTAGAACAAAAACTTACAGAAATAGAAAGCTTTGCCATTTCTTTTCCTCACAACCTTAAAAAGTAAACCATGAGTGTTGGGTCACAAAAACCTTTCTTTTTTAGTCTCCTTTTTGTGCAGATTCATCCACCATCAAATTCCATTGTACTCCTTCCTCTTCTGACTACCTGTGGAAGAATGTTTATATAAATAAACCCAAAGTCCTGTCTTTTTGTCTGTTGCTCTGAGTAAACGGTACAAAATAGATGCCTTAGTCTGGTGATTTGATTTAATACAAATAGACATTGTTAGAACAATTCTTTACACCTGAGCTATTGGGAGATTTACTTGTAACTTTCCTTGCTACGTGAGCAGCAGTAGTATTTGTTGTTTCAAAGATGTGTTGTAGTTTGATTTTGTTTGTATCATGCCAAAGTGACTGCATTAAAAAGTACCTAGTTGATTAAAACAAAACAAAACTCCTTTAAATCATTCAGCTGTTTGACCTATACTAGTGTATAGGTGTTATACTTAATTATATATTTTAATGCTGTCTGTTTTATTATGTGGCAGTGTGTAGTCCCAGTATCTATGCTAATTGTATAGTTCTTTGGACTCCAGTTTTTCTATTTGTAAATTTGGATTAAAATCTATCATGGCTCCTTTCAAAGAGAGCACTATATGTAAATGGAGGGTACTTTGATACCACTACAGGGATGGGACTGAGATCTCAAAGAAATAGGATACACTGGCTCTGGGGTGAATGGGTCCTATGACTTGTAGGGCTTCGGAGTAGGACATACAACTCTGGGGCTAAAGCTCAGGGCATTGGCCATGCAGTTGAACATTTCTGCCAGTTCTTTCCTGGTCCTGCCCTGTGCAATTTCCAGCTTCTTCTCTAAATAAATGTTGAAGATATGCATACATAGCAAAGGTGTGCCAAAGTGTACAGTTGCCCAGATTATTTGCACACCTTGGTTTGGCCCTGGCCAGTTGAAGGAGTTATGAGGAAATACATTGCTGCGGTGACTTTGGTCATTCATTTCTCTGTGTATATTGGTATTAATTGATTTTTTTGGCAGAGTTTAAAGTACTTTTGAACTTTTCCCTTTTCTTCTCTCTTCTGCTTCTTTTTCCAGACTGCTTCCGAGATTGGATGAAGAGAGTCTATTGACAATGCTGTGAAGAGAGGTATTTGGAGCGTGTTGGGGGAAGTAGTGTTGACTTCCTTGTGCAATCTAGGATTGAGTGGGGGATGCAGTTGGAAGGAAAGAGAAGTAAGACTCCTCCATCTTCCTGGTCCAGAGAAATTATGCTGGCACCCCCTAGCCTTAATGAGAAAGGAGGTGTTTGTGTTTCCACCATCTTTGAGATCTGATTGCTAATGGAGCTACCTTTAAAGAATTCTGCTATTTACAATAAAAGTGAGATCTCCCTCCTCCATCCTGTGTTGCACAGCTTGGGATTGCACCCTTGCTCCTGGCACCTTTGCATTGCAGGAGCTTGCCTTTGACTTTCTTTCCTCTCTGCATATCTTCTATTCTTGCTGCTTCTCTTTACAGAAAGTGCTGAGCTTCTTGGTGAGTGTCCCTCCCAACAGATGAATATTCAGCAGAGAATGGAGAGCTTTCTACCGTAAGAATCAGGATGTGGCTGTTTATAACGTTATTGCATTTTTTTTGAAGAGTGGCTGCAATTAGTTTTGGTGTTAGGCAGCAAAAACCCCAAAATGTTCTTTTTGATTTCACATTGCTTGCATAATACGGATACCCATTTACTGGAAGAAATCTTTGTGGGTAAGTGTATGAGTGTGTATGCATAAGTATATGTGTGTGTGTGTGTGTGTGTGTGTGTGTGTGTGTGTGTGTGTGTGTGTGTGTGAGAGAGACTCCATATATGTTTGTGGAGTGCTTTCTATGTTCCAGGCATGGTGTTAGTCAACATATGTAATTGAGAGTAAAACAGTCATGATCTCTGCTCTTAACCAATTTACAATCTAAGATAAAAGAGACCTTCCATGTTCAAATCCACAATGACATTAATTGCAATATGATCATTGTTGTGTTTGAAGAATAGCTAAGAAAAGCACAAAGAACTTACAAGATGGCTTAACAGAAGAACTTCATCTAGCTTACAAGTATGGATAGCCCCTTTCTAAGAAAACGGTATGAGTAAGGATGAATAGGAATAGGCCAGACGAAATACTAAGCCAGGAGTTGGAGGTGGACACGGGGGAGGGAGGTGACATAGTACTGATAGAGAGGTGTAGAAAGCTGAGGAGGCTGATGAATGTAGACAAAGTAGAAGTGTCACTGGATTGCAGTTCTTGATAGGTAGAAATGTTGTATGAGGGGACGAAAACAAGGCCATTGGAAAGGGAAGTTGAAGGTGGTGGTGGTGGTGTTTGTGAAGGTATTCATATTATTGCAGAATTATCTGAAGTGCAGTTTCCAATGTTGACCAAATTCATGGTATGACTGTGGAAGTTGGTACTTGGGGTGAATGATGACAACTATCAGTGGGTATCAGGGTAAGGAACTGCTGGTCAAGGTGTTGATGGTGCATCCAAGTGATGTTAAATCTGCTTAGCATGATGGTAAGGTTGGGTGAAAAGAAGACGATCAGTTGGGTGCTAAATTCTTTAAGGAGTGATCAAATGATTAAGTGAGGACTGGAGGGAGAAGAGGCTCTTATTGTCAACTACTCAAAGGAGCAGCTTACAAAAGAGAGTGCAGTTATTTGTCTGCAAGTGGCATTGGGTAGTCAGGAGGACACTGCCTTGGTTCTGATACTGGGATATTTCGAGTTTGATGGAAAACATCTCCCAGCCCCTGCTTGAGAGGAGAAGCAGTATCCTTAGGTGACAGTGGGTTTCAGTGAAGTCAAGAAAGTGTGTGGTGTGTGTGTGTGCACGATAACTTTGAGATAATTATGGGTTAGAAACATGTGGATTAAGGTAAGAAGAGACTACCCTCAGGCATTCATCCAAACTTTGAATTTCTTCTAGAAACCTCCTCTCAAGTCACAGTCAAATGACTGTGATTGATTGATCCAGCAATTGCAAAATCACTCTCTTCTAATGCATACCATTTAAGTTAATTTAAAATGTAAGTTTTATTTTCTTTTTGGATGGAGTCTTGACTGCATCCTGAAAACATAGCTGGTGTTTTTATTACCTTAGTATAAGCTGTGTAGTCAAAAGAATATGGGCATGGTCACTGTGTGTGGATATTGTTATTCCTGAGGTAAATTCTGTCCTAGCTACTAACCAAAGGATCTTTCAGAAATGCTCTCTCAAACCATTGCCCATTGGATAGCAAATGCAGTATCTATTTTAGAGAAAATTATTGCATCAGATTAAAATGGTTAAATTGTCTTAACATGCCAGGATCTTATCTTTTCATGAAAACATTTTTTATTAACTTTTTTTTAAAGGAGGACAACTGCTCTTCAGATTTTTCCCATGAAAACTGGAGATTAAACTTTGATTTTTCTCCTTTTATCCTCCCCAACAGAAGCTGTATATTTTGAGGATAACCACTTGGTTTAAAGCAAAATAGCCTTAAATAAACATACATACCTTAAAATGAATGAGCATTTCTGGTATAGTCTTAGATTTCACAGTGTCATACTGACTGGGTTGAGAAAGCCACCAGAATTTCATAGCTCAAAGTTCAGGTTTTATACAAGATATTTATGTCCTGTAGAATATTTTGTTTGCTGCAGTTTGAAATGATAGTATCATCTTCTCTAGGAAACTAATGTTTAACAGGTAAGTGCAACTGGATTGCTAACAGGAGATGGAGGAAAAAATGTCACTATTTTGAATGGGGTTTGTGTTTACCAGTACACAAAATGTATGCTTGTATTATCGATTATGTGAAAATATCTATAATTGTTAGAAAGATAAAATCCATGTTTGCCAAGAAAATCAATTTTTTCCATATCTCTCTTTGTGCATTGTGGTTTTAAAATTTCCTTTTCATTTTTAATAATGTTTTCTGTTTAGAAAGCTTATTTGAAAAAATTAAACAAAAATTATATACATTTATTGTGTACAATGTAATATTTTAAAATATGCATACATTTGGAATGGCTAAATATAGCTAATTATCATATGCATACTTATGATTTTTGTGGTGAGGACACTTAAAATCTACTCTTTTAGAAATTTTCCAGAATACAATACTGTCCAATGTTATTAACTGTAGTCACCATATTGCAAGATCTCTTGGACTTACTACTCCTGTCCAGTTGAAATTTTGCATACTTTGACAAACATCTCTCCAATCTCCACCTTTCTCCCCACCAATCCCTTGTAACCACCATTCTACTTTCTGCTTCTGTGAGTTCAACTTCTTTAGATTCCACATGTGATATTTGTCTTTCTATGCTTGGCTTATTTCACTTAACATAATGTCCTCCAGGTTCAGCCATGTTTCACAAATGACAGGGTTTCTTCTTTAAGGCTGAATAGTATTCCATTGTGCATATATATCACATTTCCTTTATCCATCCCTCCATTGTTGGACATTTAGGCTGAATCCATCTCTTGGCTATTATGAATAATGCTGCAATTAACATGGGAGTGCAGATACCTCTTTGACACATGGATTTCGTTTCCATTGGATATATGTGGTATGCTCAGAGGTGCGATTGGTGGATCATATATGGTAGTTCTTTTCAAATTTTTTTGAAGAATCTCCATATGGATTTCCATAATGGATGTACCAATTTACATTCCCATGTGCATTGTTTTCTGACGTTGATAAAGCAGTAGATCTATTAGTTTCACAAACCTTTATTGCGTGTTGACTATGCATCAGCATAATGGGAGATGCAGTTGATACAAATAAAAGGCACAGCCTTACTCGGAAGCAGATATGATAACTATTGATTAAACAAAGATGGCAGAAGTGGGCAACTGACCGCATGTGAGAAGAGTGACAAGGAGAGTGGAATCTAGGATGATGTATATTTTGGCTTGGGCTGTTGAGCTAATGAGGAATGTATACTTTTTGAAATGCGATATATTGTCACCTTATTTCTAAGTAGGGTCAAGTTTGAAGCCAAATAAAACTTTCCAATATTTGTTCTTCTAGCACATTAATAAAATGTACTTTGTGATTATGAGCAGCTGATTTGAAGATTGATTAATTTCTACTCCTGTTACCTTGATAAATAAGAAATAAATTTCATGGACAAGAACTCATCATTTGAAATAGATGGTAACAGTTGGATTGTCATTGATTACATGAGGTGATTTACAAGGAGGTCCAGCACATGCATGTAGTGTGCTATTCCTTGTCATATCTGTTTTCTGTTAATTAATACAAATGTTGTTGTGTAGATTTTGGTATTTTGACTCAAATTGAGAAAATGTATACACTTTTATATACACGTATTAGTGTAAAACTTGGACCTGGAAAAGCAGAGGTTTCTAATAAATTAGCTAACATTTTCTTTGAAGAATTCAAGGTACCCTGAAGTACTTTCCTAATGATTGAATTGTTATTGTTAGAGGTCAATTCTCCACAGACTTTTTGTATTTCTGCATCTCTTGTGAGTGAGCAACTAACTGCCCTTCATTCTGAACTATCTTTTCAGGGATATTTGTATTGTGAACAGTCTTGGAACATAGAGACAGTGTCTCTGTCTGGAGCAAAGGCCAGGCATGCTCACTGCCCATTATAAAGGATTCAGGTTCCCTGAATTCAAGATTCCTCTTCTATAGTGTCCAGAGCTGCACGCCCCGGCCATAGCGAATAATAATTAACGATTAAAACGCCTGAGCTCTATTCATTTCCACCTTCTACCTCCTCCCTATCTTTGCCTTTTTTCCCCTGTACTAATACCTCATTAAAGATGGCGCTCTTCCTGTTTCTTCTTCACTCACTTTTCCCGCGCCCGGGAAAATTGTTACTTAATAGCGCAAGCGCAACATGACCTCCGACCGGAGAAACCGAAACCAACCTGGCCACGCCCTCGGCAATGAGATCATTTCCGCCTTAGCCCAACCCCTTCCCCTCCAAGTGTATATAAGGCAGTGCATTACCGCCATTAAACGAGACTTGATCAGAGCACTGTCTTGTCTCCATTTCTCCTGTCTCTTGTTCCCCAAATTCCCACCCCCTCCTCCAGGGCCTGCTCTGACGATCCCGCGGGCTGGGATACTATAGCACAATCACTGAAGGTACCATCTGGTTCTCTTTGCATCACCTTGCAAAAATGGAGGCCTGGTTAACTGGTACAAAAAAATGCTAATACTTTGGCTACTGCTATTGTCATGAGCACTAAACTGTTATTTTTCTGTGACCCAGGAGTCTTGTGTCTTCTACCAGCATTCATGAAACTTTTGTCTGGCTAACTGGTTAGTTTGCGAGAAGGGTGAACTCTCAGACCCTTCGCAGTTTTTTGTTTGTTTGTTTGTTTTTTGAGATGGAGCATCGCTCTGTCGCCCAGGCTGGAGTGCAGTGGTGTGATCTCAGCTCACTGCAGCCTCTGCCTCCTGGGTTCAAGCGATTCTCCTGCCTCCTCAGCCTCCCAAGTAGCTGGGACTACAGGTGTGTGTGACCACGCCCGGTTAATTTGTTGTATTTTTAGTAGAGACAGAGTTTCACCGTGTTAGCCAGGATGGTCTCGATCTCCTGACCTCGTGATCCACCTGCCTCAGCCTCCCAAAGTGCTGGGATTACAGGTGTGAGCCATGGTGCCTGGCCTCCTTCACAGTTTTTGATGGTTAATGCACTTCAATGTCTTATCTTCCAATCCGTAGACTTTATCCTACCATAAAATATGAAACATTCCAACTTTTCCAGCACTGAGAGGATGGAACTCTAAGTTGTAGATTGACATGGTTTGGCTGTGTCCCCACTGAAATCTCAACTTGAATTGTGTTTTCTAGAATTCCCAAGTGTTGTAGGAGGGACCTACCGGGAGGTAATTGAATCATGGGGACCGGTCTTTCCTGTGCTATTCTTGTGATAGTGAATGTCTCACGAGATCTGATGGGCTTATTGGGGTTTCTGCTTTTGTTTCTTCCTCATTTTTCTCTTGCTGCCACCATGTAAGAATTGCCTTTCACCTCCTGCCATGATTCTGAAGCCTCCTCAGCCATGTGGAACTGTTAGTCCAATTAAACCTCTTTTTCTTCCCGGTCTTGGATATGTCTTTATCAGCAGTGTGAAAACAGACTGATACAGAAATGAAATAACAAAAAGGCAAAAACTGTTACATCTGCTTTTCCTTGTGATTGCAAATGAATATGGTGCCTGTGATACCTCACATTTATTACATACCACGGTTTTTGAAACCTCTCCCTGAGAAATATTGGAGTGTAAGTGTACATTTAAAGCAATGACTTCTATGAAATGTGAATATTTACTATCATTCATAGTTCATTTATTTTCAGTGCACCTAACTTTTATCTAGGGATCATAAACAAGTGTTTTGCTTTCTTATTGTAATCAAGTTTATTGAGGTGTAATTTATGTGTAATAGATTGCATCCAGTGTACAGTTTGATGAATATTGACTGTTTAATATGCCTGTAAGATCACCATCACCATCAAGATGCAAAACACTTCCATCACCCCAAAGGCTTACATGTACCCTTTGACTAAATGAATTTCGATAATGTGTATAAGTCCTTGATATTGAGCAATTTGGGAATAATTTCTGCTGAGGAGTTTTTGCTAGTTTCCTTATTTTATTTACTTTTTAAATTATCATAAGCATTAATATCTTATTTTTTTACCTTGGTTATTTGCTTTGATTTCTGTTTTCCCGTTAAGGGTCCTCTGTTTGGCCTTTCCTTCTCTTTCATATCTGTTGGAGCAGAAAGACCAAATAATGTTTTTGTGAGCTCACATAAATGAGATAAATAGAATACATTTGAAAAAACATCAAGACTAAGTTGCCTCGAAGGGAAAAAAACGTCACACCAAAAAGAAGGTGGGAATTAGTGTACTTGAGTATGGAAATTGATTAAGCAATAAAAATATGATGACAATTACTTTTGTAATTCAGTTATGAATTATGCTTAAAATGTGTACTTTATTCACTTTAATTATGACATTTGATTTTAGAGTTTTTCCTTCTCTCAATTATTGATACATTTTCTAGGGAAGGCTTTCTCAAATATTTGTTTCTGTCTGACTTTTTATAATCATGGCTCTTAAAATCGAAGGATGGATTTTGAACAGTCAATTTCTCTCAGCAGTGTAAAATGAGTCACATGGGTCCCATTTGTCTTGTGTCCCTTCAAAGACTGGAATGTGAGTAGAAATTGCAGAGCAACTTTCCCACAGCACTAATTGCATGTGAAGGACAAGACACTTCCATATTGTAATACCAAATATAAAATAGTGCAAAAAATAAAAAAGTCTCTGGTTAGAACTGTTCCATTTGTCATATGCCTTCTCATTTATAAAACAAGAATTTTCTCTTCTTCTCTCACCCGGTTGGAGGATCAGCTTTATTTTTCAAAATTTGGATGGAAATCAGTCTTCAGTCTGCTCTATCTGAAAAGAGAAAAATGCTTGCAACAGTTTGAAACACTATAAATTGGAATACTTGATGTCAGTTTTCTAGGATTTTTCTATCACTCCTCTTCCAACCTCCCACTTCTCACTGATGAGGGTTTCTTACTTTGGGGGGAAGAATACATAGCAACTGTAAAAATGTAAAATAAAGCGAGTTCATCTGATTAGTCTGCAATCTCTCTCTTCTCGTTTGCATCTGGAAATTCTCAAGTAGACACATGGAAACTTGCAGCATGCACGCTTTCTCCCTGTGTGTCTGCATATTCCATGCCATTTTCCAGCCATGCTTGTCTTTTATTAGGAATTAGATGGTCTGAATGAGAATAATTTAAAACATTTTTTAAAAACTTTATTTTTTTAGGAAGAGTTTTAGGTTCATAGCAAAATTGAGATAAAAAAACAGAGATTTCCCATATATCCCTCCTGTCCCCCTCACCTGGCCTCCCCTATTATCAACACCTCTGACCAGAGTGGTACCCTTGTTGCAATCCATGAGCCTATACTGACACATGATTATCACCCAAAGCCCAGAGTTTACTTTAGGGTTCCCTTGGAGTTGTATATCCTAGGGGTTTCGACAAATATGTATTGACATGTAGACAGAAAAATAAAAATTTGATGTCAACATCTCACCTTTCCTGTTCAGTATTAAACATGAAGCAACTGTTGTGCCTTTTCCAAAAATAGTCTGCCACAAGGAGCAATAAGTAATCAGAATTTAAGGGGGAGGAAAATGGAAAACTCAAGATGCCTGCTTTACATGAACACACACATATTTTATAACTTCTCTTATACTTTAGAACATTATTCCACTGGATTCTGGATTTCTAGATATCACATGAAAGTTCAACTGTAATTAGGAAGTACTTAGCTTAGGGTGAGGCAGGGTAGGTTTGGCTCTGTTTGATAGAATTGAATCGGGTCAACTTGCGATGCATCAAACACTCAGAGCAAGTATTTTTTTGGGAATCATCCACCTGAACAGGGAAATTTTCTAATTTGCACTAAAGTGCAGTACATGCTCTCAGAACATGAGGAATTAAAGACAATCACACTTCCCCTCTTTTGTAGCAAAAGGATTTTTTTACACCGGAGATCTCTGTTGAATTATGCCTAGTCGGTATTATCCATGCAGGTTCTAAGTATGAGATGTTTTGATCCAAGAAAAAAAGCATTTTTCGCCTTTTTCTTGTTTTTGTTTTCTTGCTTATTTTTACTTGCTTGTTTTCACTACTGTACCAGTCCAAGGAATCACTGGCCAAAAAGGAGGACAAAGTTATAATTAGGAAATAAAGGAGGCTGGCGGGAACTGGAAAGACGTGAATAAGTGGTTCATTAAACTGAGAAAACTGAGAAAGCAAAGCTCAGGGAAAGCAAAGCTCACTACTGAGAAAGCAAAGTTCACTACTGAGAAATTGTAGTGGGGGTGGGAATGGGGTTGAAAGAGATGCAACTGTATTGTAGACAAGAGAAAGGCCACTTCAGGCACTAACTCATAAAGGCAGTGCATCTGCCCTGGTTTTCCTTTCACGAACAGCTAAAATACTAGATGGCACTGGACATGGTGAAAGCACATAATAGGATGAGGAGGTTGGTTTTGAAATTTGGACTAGGTCAAGATTTCTAGCTCATAAAAGTTAGTTGATCATGGAGCAGTCAACGTTCACAATGGGTCTCAGCAGCTAAGTCAGGCAACGGGGAAGATATTCTTTACTTCTCTTGGGTAAATATGTAGAGGTGCATTGGCTTGCTTATACGGTTGGCATTTGTTTAAATTTTTCATAAACTTCCAATTGTTATTTAAAGTGCTGGCATAATTTGACACTCCTACCAGCAGTGTGTAAGACCTCAAGTTGCTCCATACACTTAATAATACTTGGCATAATCAGTCTTTGATATTTTAAACATTATAATAAGTATATAGTGGTATTTTACTGACATTTGTTTCTCTCTATTTTCCTCTTGCTTTTTTTTTTTTTTTTTTTTTTTTTTTTTTTTTTTTTTTTGTGAGACGGAGTCTTGCTCTGTCTCCCAGGCTGGAATGCAATGGCGTGATCTCGGCTCACTGCAACCTCCACCTCCCAGGTTCAAGTAATTCTCCTGCCTCAGCCTCCCGAAGAACTGGGATTACAGGCCACCACGGCCGGCTAATTTTTTTGTATTTTTAGTAGAGACGGCGTTTCACCGTGTTAGCCAGGATGGTCTCAATCTCCTGAACTCCTGATCCACCTGCCTCGGGTTCCCAAAGACCTGGGATTATAGGAGTGACCACCGTGCCTAGCCTTTCCTCTGTCTTTCTTTCTTTTTCTTTTTCCAGCACTGGCACAACATGCACAGACTTCGAGGACACAGGAGGACAAATGCTTAGGGTTCCATTCATATGAAATGCCCAGCACTGGCAAACCCATACAGACGGAAAGCAGCTCAGAGGTTTCCAGGGGCTAGGGGGAGGAGGGCACGTGGGGAGCGAGTGCACCGCATTTTCACGGGGTCTTCTTTTGGAGCCATGGAAGTGTTTTGGAACTAGAGAGCTGTGATGATTGCAAAACATCGTGAGCAGAATGCCACTTAATTTGTACGCTTTAAGAAGGGCAGTTTTAACTTACGTGAATTTTACCTCAATAAAAAGGGGTGAATCCCCCACCAGGGACAAGCAGAAACAGCAGCCCACGCAGAGACACGACGGAAAGGCCAGGCTCTGGATCTGCCTACCAGGAGGGAGAAGGACACCCATGCCCCTAGAGCTGCTGTGAGGGAGGAGCGCTCAGCACAGGGCCCAGAAACGGGGCAAGTGAAATATTTGCTGCATTCATTACCATCCCCAGACCAGCAGGGCGGCCCATGCAGCTCAGGCTAGCAGCCCTGTCAAGGGAGGCCCCGGAACGACCCAGGCCACGCCTGTGGCCACAGCTCCTGCAGTGGCCAAGAGCAGAGCCAGAGTGGGGAGTCAGGTGAGTTCAGCCCTCCCTCCCTGGCTAGCTCATGTCTCCTCCCTGGGCCTCACCTACCTCTGGGAAGGGGATAGAGACCAGTCCTCTAGGAAGCTTCCAGCACCAGAACCTTCCTGCACCTGGAGTCTATGGGGAAGACAATCAATCAATCAACCTATGGATCTACCCACAGGACCAGTGGAGAGGGAGGCAGGATGGTGCATTGGGTAAGCCGTGGTGATTAAGCTGACAGACAGGGGTTCAAATCCCAGCTCCTCCACCTCCCAGCCCCCCACCCTCAGGCCCCAGCTGCCCTAGCCAGCCCTTCCGTGCCTCAGTTTACCCACCTGTAAAAGTCAGGTAATAATCGCCACTACCCCGTAGGGTATTGTGACGATGGAATGAGTAGTCTCACTCTGTCGCCCAGGCTGGAGTGCAGTGGCGCGATCTCGGCTCACTGCAAGCTCCGCCTCCCAGGTTCACGCCATTCTCCTGCCTCAGCCTCCCGAGTAACTGGGACTACAGGCGCCCGCCACCTCGCCCGGCTAGTTTCTTGGTATTTTTTTTTTTTTAGTAGAGACGGGTTTTCACCATGTTAGCCAGGATGGTCTCTATCTCCTGACCTCGTGATCCGCCAGTCTCGGCCTCCCAAAGTGCTGGGATTACAGGCTTGAGCCACCGCGCCCGGCCGCCCTCTGTCTTTCTTACTTGATTTTGTCTTTTGTTGATTTTCTATTTAATTTGATTATTTTCTTTCATTTGATTATTTTGGTTTTCTTTGCTTTAAGTTTCTTTCTAATTTCTTAGTTTGCTTTTCTAGCTTAAGGTGGGAGCCGAGGTGGAAGCTGATCAGATCTTCTTCTTTTCTAATATAGGGTTCAGTGCTATAAACCTCCCACTAACTACTGAGTTACCTGCAAAGTACAAATTTTCATATGTCGTACTTTCATTTTGATCTACATTCAAATGCTTTCAAAAAATTTCACTTTTGAATTCACCTTTGACCCATTGATTATTAAGAAGAGTGTTAGTTTCCAAATATTGGGGAATTATTAATACTTTTGTTAATGATTTCTATTTTAATTGCATTGTCATCAGAAATATAATTTCAATGGCTTAAATCTTTTCAGATTATTGAGAAAGTTTTGATAACTCAGAGTATGATCTATCTTGGTAAATGTTTTATGTACACTTGGAAAAGTTGCAAATCCTGATGCTCTTCTTGTTTGGAATATTCTATAAATACAAAAAATTGGTCTAGTTGGTTGATAGGTTATTCAAGTCTTCTTTATCCTTTTTGATTTTCTATCTCTATTTATACTATTTGGCCTGAGAAGAAGTATTAAAATCTCTAATTATAACTAAAGATTTGGTCTACAACAGAATTTTTGCTTGCAGTTCTATCAGATTTTGCTTCAAGTATTTAAAAACTTTCCCTAAGTACATAAATGGAAAGAACTGTTTATATCATTTTGATGAACTAACTTTGTTGCCATTGTAAGATTATCCTTTTTTATCCCTATTAAGAGACTTTGCTCTTAAGTCTGTCTACTTTATCTGATAATAACATAGTCCCTCTAGCTTTCTTTTTGATCAGCATTTGCATGATATATCTTTTTACAACCTTTTACTTGTAGTGGTGTTTTTATACTTAAAAAACATCTTTTAAAAGCAGTGTATATAAGTCTTGTTATTTTTATCCAATCTGATAATCTCTGCATTCAACTAAAGGTTTTAGACCACATAAATTTAACGCTATTATTGATAAGATTGAGTTTAAATCTACCTTCAAGCTATTTGCTTTTTATTTATACTATCTGCGTGCAATTATTTTTTTTCTCTTTTTTCATTCTTCTTTGGATTGAGTAATTACTCAATTTTTCCCTTTTTTGTTGACTGATAGTTGCTATTTTGATGTTTATTTTAATGGATACTTTAAGGTTTTTAGTACACATTTTTAACTCTTTACGTCTACTTTCAAGTAGTGTTATGTTTTTCCCATAGAGTGTGAGAACTTTAAAATAAGTATAGCTGACCATTGAATAATGTAGGATTTAGGGATGCTGACCGCCTGTGTAGCTGAAACCCAATATAACTTTTGAATTCCCCAAATTTAACTGCTAATAGCCTAC